ATATCTATATATCTCTCTCTATCTCTATCTATCTCTATATACATATATGTATATACATATCTCTATATATACATATATATGTATATATGTGTATATCTGTGCATCTAGATGTATCTCTATCTATCTCTGTGTGTATATGTATATATCTCTCTATATATACATATATCTATATGTGTCTCGATCCATCTACATATATGTATAGAGGTGTCACAATCTCTTTATGTGTCTCTTTATATATATATATATATATCTATATATATATATATATATATATTATATATATATATATATATATATATATATATATATATATATATCTATATATATATATATATATATTAATATATATATATATATATATATATATATATATATATATATATATATATATATATATATATTTTATGTATTATATTGATTATTACTAATTATTTTATTATATAAATTATTGTTTTATTATTTGTATTATATTAATTATTATAATTATGTTATTATATTATTTATTTTTTTACTATATTAATTATTATTAACATTTGTATTTTATAATTTTTTATATTGATTATTATCAATTATTTTATTATATTAATTATTATTAGTTATTTTATTATATTATTTATTTAAAATTATATTAATTATTATTAATATTTTATTATATAATTTTCTGTATTGATTATTATTAATTATTTAATGATATTAATTATTATTAGTTATTTTATTATATTATTCATTTAAAATTATATTAATTATTATTAATATTTTATTATATTAATTATTTTTTTATTATTTTTATTATATTATTATTAATTATTTTTCTGAAATATATAAATTATAATTTTAAATTAAAATTTAAATCATTAAATTGAAGTCAGGTTATATTTTTATATGATATTAAATATAAATTAGAAATAAAAAAATTTTAATATTCAATATTTTTATAAATTTAATTAATGTTTTCTGACATTGTAAAATATATCAATAAATAAAACACAATAAAAATAAAATAAATCAAGTACTGTGCTTCGAATGGCAGTGAGTGTGTAATATTGTAATTCTCTTCATAGCGGTCATGGCTTATAAAGCTTTAACCAAGTTTTTTTAAAAGCTCTTCACGGGAAATATGAATGGGAAAACACCGCGGTAAATGTGAGCAGCATCAGTGCACAGTTAGTTCTGCGCAGCTGCACTGAGTTGAAGGATTTTAGCAAAAGCTTTGATCCAGAGCGACTCTAAGAGCCAAGTTTCTCCTCTGTGTTTGGCTGTAATTTGAGTTTTTCCTCCTGCACATCTCTGCCTTTTCATTTTCATTCAGATCCTCTTACGAGTGTTTTTACACCGCCTGAACCTTTAGGATGACATTTTCTCTCCAGTGTTTTATTTAAGGCATTATTTTACTCCTCCTGCTGAAGCTTTTAGAAATGAGAGATGACCTGAGCTGAACCTGGAGGATTTGATCAGATTCAGCCCTGAAGAACAACAAACCAACTCTGTTTATAATTCTGTTAGTGTTGTGCTGAACATGGTGTTTTTAATGCACACACACACACGCACATACAAACAAACACGCACACACACATGCACATTCATGGACAAACAGGCACGCACATGCACAGACATACATGCATGCATACACACACACATAGGAACACACATGCACGGACACACAAACACACACACACTTGCATGCAAGCATGCGGTATGAGGCACCGTGTAGGATTTAAATCAAACTTCGCTTATCAACCTATATACAACTATACTACTGGATGTTCAAAACAACATATATGAAACTTGCGCATATACATATAATCTTGACACATGCATAAACACACACGCACATACATATGTACTCGATCCTCGCATAAACACCCACATTAGCACATGCACACACATATTAACTGCATGCAAACACACCTGTACACACTTGCATCAACGCACACACAAACATACACATACAGGCACACACATAAACGCACACATGAACACACACACACACACTCATGGATGCACACAAACAAATATGTATGCACATGTATGCATGCAAGCACACGTGAAGATACACACACATAAATGCGAACATGCATGCACGCACCCAAATGCACATGCACTCGCACACAAACATGCACATAAATGTGCACACACAAGCATGCGCACACACACAACCACACTTGCACACACGTGTATGCACATACATGCAAGCACACGCACATAAACAGGCACACACACAGAGACAAGCGCATGCACACACACAACCGCACATGCACACAAACGTGCACATTAATGCGCATACAAACACGCATGGACTGCATGGACACGCAAGTACACACACACACACACACGT